TGGACTCTATCGAGAATGGAAAGTAAAGCCCATATATGGTGACAGTACTCCCATTTTCAGTCTGATCTAGCTCTTGTAAAGTTGGTGTGAGTTGAGATGTTGCGATGTTGTTCAAACCGTGTATGTTACTGGCATTTATCAGCAAAGCGAGAAAATATATAGAAAATAGGAAAGAACTCGTTAGGTAAACAATCCGAAGTTCTTTAGTATTTTTGATATTATTTTTAAAAAACAGTGCTCGATACAAAAGTAGAGCCTAAATTATAATTATTTATTTAAAAATATGATTCCATCGCTACATAAGAATTCTCATGTTTCAAAACAAGAGCCAAAAACTTCAATATAATTATTTGAATTAAATTGAATTAAAGTACCTTAATTAAAGTACTTTAATTCAATTTAATTCAAATAATTATATTATTTTAAAGTACATCAGGACAATTACCATGAAAATATTTGCAGAAGAGGCAAGAGGAAGCTGAAATACGGCGATGGGAAGGTGAATGAAACCTCAATTTGCAAAACAGGCTAAGTGCATTACTTCTTCTCTACAGTAAATTCATGTGTATTTTATGTTCCAAATTCTCCCAGGGCGGCTCTTCACTTCCTGTCTTTGGTTGCTCATGTATTCTTAGAATTTTGTAATACAAGATCTAACGGATCTCCCCTCGAGGAGGCGCCTTGCCTTGGGAGAATATTGGACCTTAAACTCACACCCGACATCAAGTGGAACTCTTATATACGACCCATCGCTAAAGATGCAGGTAAAATGATCACCTGTACCGCTTCAGTAAGTAATTGACTTTTCATGCTATCCTCTACCTTTATAAGAGACAAGTCAGGCCGAAAATGGAGTACTGTTTCCATATTTGGACGGAAGCTGCCCAGTCCTCATTTTCCAGACTTGATAGAATTCAAAAGCGTCTCCGAGTCCTTGTTGGAGAAGAATTATTTTCCATTCACCAAACTCTCTCTCTCACACACAGGCGGGATATGGCGAGTCTCTCACTGCTTTATCGCTACTACCATGAAAAGTGCTCGGACGAACTGCATTCCTTGTTTCCGTCAGGTCTAACCTTCGCGGCTATGACTCCCCATGCCACTTGCATAGTAGCAAACCACCCACATCATTCATACTACCAAATTGTTAGAACAGACATACCCGAAGAAATGATCTATGCAGATGATGTAGACTTTCCGTCAGAGAATGAAAGGAAGAAGCAAGTAGTGTTGAACGCAGCTGAGACAGTATCTTTATAAACAGAATGCTGACGATAAACCAGGATAAAAAACCGGGCATACAATATTAGAGAGAGAGGAAATAGAAATACAGAACATTCCATCATCGCCGATCAGACCCCCGAACTACCGCCAATCACGATGAACGGATGTCCCTTTGCGGAGGCTCCGTGCCTTGATAGAATTTCTGGGGCTTCAAACTCACACCCGACATCAAGTGGAACTCTTATATACGACCCATCGCTAAAGATGCAGGTAAAATGATCACCTGTACTGCTTCAGTAAGTAACTGACTTTTCATGCTATCCTCTACCTTTATAAGAGACAAGTCAGGCCGAAAATGGAGTACTGTTTCCATATTCGGACGGAAGCTGCCCAGTCCTCATTTTCCAGTCTTGATATTCAGTCTTTGACGGAGAAGAATTATTTTCCGCCCTCCAACCTCTCTCTGGCTGGCAGGGTGTGGTGAGCCTCTCTCTGGCAGGCAGGGTGTGGTGAGCCTCTCTCTGGTCTATCGCTACTTCCATAGAATGTAGTTGGACGAACTGCATTCCTTAGTTGGGAATATCAGGTGCATTAAGCTTGGATAGGCGAGTGGTGTAATGGATAACGGCTCGGAAACTGGAGAGCAGAGTTCGAATTCCCGTTGGGTTCGTTATATTCACTTATACGCAGATAGCCTTGGGAAAGGCATGAATCCACCTCAAGGACACATGACACAGTGGATAAAGGCGTTAGTTGGATCCAGTGACAGAACTCAAAGTTCAATACCCGGCTAAGGCGGTGGAGAACTTTCAGATGGAAATTAACAGGAGATAGCTGATAATTGACATCCATTGAACATGGCACGTGGAACTAGAACAGTCTACCCCAGTGAGCGAAATAAAGGGTTAAGTTCGACATTCCAACCACCTGAAGAAGGCTGGAGCGTACAACGGCCGAAACGTAATAAATATGGCAACAATAGTTAGAATAATGTAAATAATGTACATTAATATCTCAAAAAAAAAAAATAGAAAAAAAAAAGAAAAAGAAAAAATATTCTTAAAATCTGAAAATATTTTCTCGCGTTAAATAACAAAAGATTGATAAACCGTAAAAAAACAAAACCATCAATTTAGATCTTACAAACACACAATCTTATACAATTCTTTCTTGAAAAGTTTTCAGACTGACCCAGTTCCCAAAATCTGATCAAAGGATCAAACAATAGTTTTGGGGTATGGATGGGTGGTAAGAGAGGATGTCAAGACTTCTGGGTCGGGTTGGTAAATTTTCAGCTCCAACATCATTTTATCAACTAAATTTGGGGAAATGTTTGGTATGTAATCGTTATTTTCCCGATAGATTAATCATTTCTTTTCTTTTTCCTCTTTAGTAAATATACAATTGATTAACTGATCGTTGTTCAATTTGGTAGATGAAAGTGTGTGCATAGATGTTTGTATTCATTGTTTTGTCTGATGCTAAAGGTGCGGGTAAAGTTATAATTAGCGAATCGGAACGAGAAATCCTCGATTCGAGTTCGAATTCGGGTCAAATTTGTTACATTTAATATCACACAAAGATCCGTGGAAAAATTATGAAAATATCTCTGCTCTATCAATCACACTCCCAGTTATGGATTAAATCACAGTCTACCATTCATTCTTGCTTTGAATATTGCTGCCACATATGGTCTGATGCACCTGATGTATGTTTAGAGATTTTTGATAAAATCCAAAGGAGACTCTGCAATATTATTGGTCCTGACTTGGCATCTCGGCTTCAGTCACTTTCCTACTGTCGTAACAGTTTCTCTGTGCTTTTTCTATAAATACTTTGATGGTAATTGTTCTGATGAACTTTCCACGATGGTACCTAGACTTTATGAATTTAAGCTCAGTACTAGATTGGCGGCAACGTCTCATCCTTTTGCAGTTGAAATGGTCTACCCGTAAGTTGAACGATGTACCCGTAACTTCTATGCTAACAGTTTCTTCTATCACATTTCTCGCTTGTGGAATTCTCTTTCGGCCTGTTGTTTCCCAATCAACTTTGATTTTCAAAAATTTAAATGCAATCTAAATCGTTATCTTCTGTCTACTTAATTATTGTTCTTTTATTGTCTTCTCTCTTAATAGTAGTTTTTTTCCGTATATTCTATTATACTCAATAACCCCTTGCATCCTAGTGGCTTTATTGCCTTGCTTGGGGTGAAATGATTAAAAAAAAAGTGGGGGCATATTAAGCTCTCGAGCCGTGGTTAGCAATCAGTCAACTCTGAATTCAAAACTATTTGCATCCCTGACGAAGCACATATTATGCAACCATAGAAAGTATTTAGGGTTCACAATTAACTACGGCGCGGATTGTGGATTCCTTGATCTCAAGTGTGGCCGGTGACGCAGGTAGGTGATGTAAAAAGGGCATAAGAGCATTTTTGTGAAATGACGAAAAAGAACACCTTCAGGATAAAAATTCAGAATAAAAAGCATGATTCTCCTTATTCTTCTACACACTGTGTTCCTTTAGATCGTGGGCGATCACGGCTCTCCATAACTTCCTGGTTTTTTTTTTAGCTCTTAGCAGTGTTTGTCTTTCTATTATCTCTCCTAATCTCTGTTTTGCCAGCCATTTACAAAAGCAGGTTAGGTAGGTTATTCTCCGTGTTCCTCTGTACTTTTGCCTTTAACATGTTATGTGAGTGTTAAATTTTCTAAGCCCTCTTTCCTCGTTAGGTCACATGTTTAGGTTATGGTATTCTCAGCGTACGATTCTTAAAACTGGGGCTTAACTTCACAAAAAGTCTTCGTATAGGAATATTGCCTATGTCATCTTAGAGATACGTTGGCTCATTTCAAAAATGGAAAAAGAAATCAAAACAAAAATCATGCCGAAAGATTGTAAGTCAGCTGATGCCATTTTCTGAACCACACCGACGTGATATTAAAACCAAATGGATAAAGAAGGGCCCGAAATGAATAGGTAGCAAATCCGGACCAATAAGAATTTTATTTATTTGTAAACAAATAGCAAAATATCTGTGGTTATTTGAAAGGTTTTATGGACACATTAAACAAAATTATTGCATGACGAACAAATAGTGACAGGAAACAACACACTGAAAAAGTTAATCTAAACAATCTAAATATTGATTTGAAACATTTTCTTTTCTACGAGGTAAGCGGGTCAATTTTTAGTCGATAATTATATACATATATATATATATATATATTGAGTGTGTGTGTGTGTGTTATAAACGTGTATATATATATATATATATATATATATATATATATATATATATATATATATATATATATATATATATGTGTGTGTGTGTGTGTGTGTGTGTGTGTGTGTGTGTGTTATAAATGTGGTGCTACCTAAAAAGTCAGGGATTTTAAACAGCGCGTGTAAGCCAGATGTAGTTACAGACTCTTGTCTTTGTGATTGATGGATTTGTTTTTTTTACGGTTTATCAGCCTTTTGCAGGTCATTTAAAACCGGGAAATAATTTTAGCGTTTAAGAATCTTTTGTGTGTGTGTGTGTGTGTGTGTGTGTATGTGGGGAGGGAATAATATTGGTTTTAGTAAATGTTTTAGTAATACAAGTCCTACTAATTAACCCATAGCTGGGGCGAATAGGTGGATTATTCATACCTCTTCCTAAGTCTATTTGCGCGTAACTGCATATAATGAATCCAACGGGAATTGGAACTCGGCACTCCGATTAACAATTCTGATCCATTATCCATTACACCAACCGCACATCCATGCTTACAGCATCTGGTATTCCCAATCGGTTACCTATCTAGGCACTGACAGGCTCGATGTTGCTTAACTTCGGTGATCGTAAAGGAACCGGTACTTTCAACATGATATGGCCGTAAGCCTGTTATAAACGTGGTGCTACCTAAAAAGTCAGGGATTTTAAACAGCGCGTGTAAGCCAGATGTAGTTACAGACTCTTGCTGTGTGAGAAATAACTTGTCAGTTCCTTCGAAGAAGATGGTGGAAACTAGCTATAGGGTTAGTATTAATTTTTCATAGTCATTTTCACGAATTTTGGGTAGCATTTCATTAACACCATAACAACACACGCACACAGACATATATATATATATATATATATATATATATATATATATATATATATATGTGTGTGTGTATGTATAATAAAGATGGTGTTTAACCCCTCCCCCCAAAAAAAGAAAAATCTTGACCAACGTAATTTCTGGATGATAACGTTTTTAAGGTGAGCAGTTTTTGCCTTTAAGAGAGCACAAATAATAATAAATAAAATTACATGTTCACTTATTTGGTTTCGACTTTGGATTTCATGGTGATTACATCCACTCGTCAGGAGACTCAATTGTAAAATTGAATTTATTTTCAGGTTTATTTTTCTTAACAGACAATAACATAATAAAGTTCGTTTTTTTTGTTTAAGAAGACAGTAATTAATTTATGCTAGAAATAAAGATATTTGGAGGTTAACACCGTGAAACACAGTTCACAAAAATGAACATTCAATTTAATTTATTGATAGATAGATAGATAGATAGATAGATAGATAGATAGATACTCGAGGGGTGCTGAAATTTTCTCAACTTAATTAAGACAGAATATTCCACTTAATTTCGATATTTGAGAAGTGAGTCGGGCCGAAAAATTTTCGGCACCTATGGATATACACACATACATACGAAGAATTGCCGAAACTTCGGTGAGGTATTCTTTCTTGGGCGACCTGAGAAGTTTTTTGGCACCTCTTCGTGTGTGTATGTTCGTGCGTACACGTCGTCGAAATATTGATACGAACATGTGTATACAAGCACACACACACACACACACACATATATATATATATATGATGTGCGCGCAACACACTTTTACTTGTATACAAGCACAATCATATATATATATATATATATATATATATATATATATATATATATATATATATATATATATATATATAATGATAAATATACATGGGTGTGTTGTTTGCACTTAATTCGTACCTTCTCGAAGTTTTCCCTACCTGCTTTTGATAAACATTGACGAAAGACGGAGTGAAGAAGCCCTTAAAAATGAATTAAACAATAAGTAAATAAAAACAATTCTCTTACCTGATCGTGTCGGAATCCACACTTTGAATAACACATGAGTCGATCGTCGTCACTTGGTAAAGTTTATCTCGCAGTTTAATATCAACAACAACAACAACAACGTCGTCGGCGACGACAATGATAATAATGTCCCGTTATCCAGCATTCAGTGGAACAGTCCACCGTCATAAAAAACATTTCGTTAAAAACCTTAACTTTCCTCTTATGACCAGTATGCAAAGCCTGTTAGTGTGACTTTTTTTTTTGTTTGTTTGCATACGAATCTTATGTAATGCACAGGTAAAATAACTCAGGTGTGCGTTAGTGCGCGTTAAAGATGTTTTTAATTTTCCTACCAATCGTTATAGGTAAGACTAGTGGATAGACCTGTAAATAGTAATTATGGGCGTGTTATCAGTTTCTTTTTTTTTTTCTTTTTCACAGAAATATTTAACTACAGGTGTCTATATAATGCGTTTTTTTTTTTTTTTTTACCGTGTTGGTACTCTCAGATATACGGGTTTTAAATACTAAACCTGTATTTGGTTTAAAAGGGATGTGGTCTTGTGTTTTTTTTCGTATATTTTACAACTCACTAGGTTTTACAGTTTTACTTTAAAGTAAACACTTAAAAAAAAAAAAATAAAAATAAAAAATAAAAACGAATTTTCTATCTAAGGTAGTATACACATTTAAGAATTTATAACAAGAAAAATAGCAAACATACACATGCGCAAATGTAAACACACACACTCACATACATTTTAAAACGCGAGTTTTTTTTGTGTTTTTTTGGAGGTCGGTTATTCCGGCTCATTCTTTGAAGGTGTATATAGACCCTTTTTTTTCTGTGTATATATAATATATTCCTGTTTATAAAAGGTTTTTCTTTTTTGTTATTCACACACAGAGGATGGAGAAAGAGGCAGTGAGAAAAGAAAGACAGACACAGAGATCCAAAACAGTGTGAAGCTCGTAAGGCTTCGAAGTTGTATTGTGGCGAGGTGTACACTTGGTTTGTTTAAGTTGGGTACATCGACCCAACTACTTTACGCTTTTTCACTTTCTTTCTTTCTTTCTGTCTTTCTCTTTCTCCCCTCTCTCTTTCTTTCAAAGGCATACACTCATTCTTTTTCGAGCTATTTTTTCTTCATCTCACCTGAGCAGTCGGACACACACAGGCATTCATTGCCACTTATACAATCAGGCAGCTTTTTCCTAGGGATCTTTCTTCTTCTTGTATAAGCGTTCACCTGCACGCCGGCAGGTAATTGATACACTACAAACACAGATTTACTCTCTAACACGCTATTATTTTTCTGTCTTACCTGTGCAGTGTGCGTATACGTTTGATTCGATCTGTAGAAAAATAAGTAGTAGGTATATTTTCGGCAAAAATTAAAAAGCGTGCTCATCTATCTACACACTATTTACACTTAAACCCATCTCATATACGCATTTGAACATATACGCAGCGTACTTCGACATGGTGTAACGGTTAGCAAGCTTGTCTCGCGATATTAATTACGACTGAGAAGTGAGTTCGATCCTCACTAGATGCTCCATGCGTTCGGTTTTGTGCTACATGTAAGTTACGCTTAGTAAATCACAATACACAGGGCACTTCGATGTGGGGTAAATAGTAAGCTTGTCTCGCTAGATCAATTACGACCAAATAGTGAGTTGGGTGCTCCATATTTCCGGCCTTATGTCACTACGCTTGCTAAATCATTTAAACATATACGACACATATATCTTTGACGCTGGTTTCACCAGATCACTTACGACTTAGCCAATCCCTTTACACATATATCTTCTTTCTTGGTATATTTCTTCTTAATATTTAGTTTGTTTTGGGGTTCATTCCTCCCCTCTCATGATCATTCATCCGATATATATATATAATAAAGTTGTTGATCAGAACAACATCAGACCATGCGACGAATATTTTAAAAGAGTGCTCAGTACACAAATTCGAAAAAGTTGAACGTGTAGAGCAGATAATATATATATATATATATATATATATATATATATATATCCACAACAGGAAGATGTGGGAAACTATGAACATCCACGCATATATATATATATATATCTTGGTATATATATTTACCAACAAAGAAGATATAGAGATTTATTGTAAATTAACACAATTATGGCACAAGGCCGAAAAGGGGGAATGGGTTGAGATTATCTTATACCTTCGCTAATCGGATTCTCGTTACAATTTCCTCATTCACCACAAAAACTCATCCATCTTCAATCAATCCTCCATACACCATAATACCACATCCTCTCGGAGAGGCGGCCTAAAAAACATCCTAATGAGATGTTATATATATATATATATATATATATATATATATATATATATATATATATATATATATAATAATAATATTTTTGTTTAAAAATATGATTCCTTCGCTACATAATAGTTCTCATGTTTCAAAAACGAGAGCCGAAACCATCCAAATAATTATTAAAATTAAGTTGAATTGTGGTGTTTAGTACCGTTTCATCTTCAAGCGAAATTTTAGGAATTTAAAATTTAGATTCCTAAAATTTCGCTACGTAAAGCTGGCCGTGGGAAAAACACTGTTCTCCAAGGTGAATTCCGGCGACACGTAGTGTTTTGCCCTGTGATTCATTAATAGACATTGCAAAGCAAAGTCTGATGGGAAACTGCGACCGGCAGAATGTAAAGGGCACATCTGAACCCGACGGAGATAGATGCATGCGCGGTATGAATACAGTTTCACCCTTTCCGCAACCGATAAGAATTATCGCTTCAATTAAATTTGGGGCCAAAGACTTAACCACCATGCTTGTTCCATTGCACTGTTTCGGGGGAACCAGGTTACGTAAAAGCATAATGGGCGCGCCCACTTTCAGTCTCAGTGTATGAGGCGGAAGCCCCGCCGGTTCAAAGGAATACAGAAATTTGACCGGGTAGTCCGTAAGGTTGTCGGGTTCGGGCTTCCTATCGATGGATTTAAAGATGTAATCGTCCCCGGGAATAAACTGTAGAAGTTACTCATTAATGATAATAACTGTGGTGTTTTTTGGAGCAAGAACAGCTCTTTCAGAGAGCCACTCAAGGTCACTGTAGTTGGCACTAAGATGCGGAAAGACGGCATCTCTGAACTGTTGATGGGTGTCAACAACTGAACACAGTGTTCCCACGTTAATCTAGCCTTCTGCGTCTGAAGGCGTTCGGCCCTTCCCGAGGGCTAGATGGTCCCTTGAAAAATCAGCGGACCTGTTGTCCCCAGTAGTATGAGCGCGCATGTTGATGGTCAGGTGCAATGACTGGACATGGACCCAGAGGTTGGACGACTTAAGGCACGGACGAACAGCATCGGCCCTCGTCCCTTTAAGAATGACAGGCAGGGTTTGTCGAAAGTCATCTGACAGAAGGAGAGTCAAGCCACCCATGAGAGCAGTGGAGTCTTGAAGTGACCTATTCAACACCTCGAGTGCTTGTCTGTGAGTCATAGTGCACTCGCCCCACACTAAGAGTTTACAACGTCTGAATACGTCAGCCTGACCCGAATCTTTTGAAATGCTGCAAGTTGGAATTTCGGCCTTGGCAAGGTCAAGCGGAAGTCTAAACATAGAGTGCGCTGTCTGTCCACCCGACAGCAATATGGCTGCAATCCTAGATGAGGCAACAGCAAGCGTGATGTTTCCGTGCCGCCTGATTTCAGCTAGAATTAGTTTTGTAATGAACATCTTCCCGGTGCCACCGGGTGCGTCAAGGAAGAAGATGCCACCGCGCTGTTGTCGGACGGCGTCAATCACCGTAGTGTAAGCTGTTCTTTGTTCTGGTAGGAGGCGTAATTCATTCTCTCGGACATAGCGGTCGAGGTCAGCAGTGCAATAAGACGTTTCGCGTGATAAGTCGGCGGTGCCATCTCGCACTGGCGGAGGTAACCCGTATGTAGTTAGCGCAGCTCCACCCATTTCAATGTCTTCAACCTGAATGAGCGTCCTATTGTAAATAAAGTCCGTGTAGCCCAACTCGGCTGACGGACATTGCTGTTGTGCCGCGTACAAAATGTCTTCCGACATGAAGTCTTGTACTTAGCCCATAAAGCAGAGGGGTCACTTATTTCGCATCTTACTATTAAGATCGCGAATAAGGATCGAAGGGTCGCAGGTGCCTGTAAGAGAGCTCCCTCTGCCATGGTAGCATCCCATTGAGAATCATCCTCCAAAAGGCCACGTTTGAAGCAAGCCTCTCGGTAGGTGTTGCACACGACGCCGTCAACAGTGCGAATGGCCTCGAACTAACAACCTCATGAAGTAGAAGCCGGGGACAGAAGCACTCCTGCTGATTTGGTGACATTGTGTAGACCCGACCAAGGCAGGTGTCACACTTAATGCCGAGGTACCCGTCAACGCTCTGGCCAGACGTCTTGCGACTCCAAATATTGTTCGCCCAACTTGGAACTTGTTGATATAGCAACTCGTCATGAAGGCACTACTTAAAAAAGGCTGTTAAAATTGTGTCTTTCGGATTTTCGGCGATAGCTACCGCCGCAGTTCGTTCAGTGAAGTAAATCTGCTGCCCGTTCTCTAGTGCACTGCCAGCTGTACGATTGCTGTATGCCTCTGGTGAATTGGGAAGCCGAAAACGCGCCAAAAAGCCTCATTGCTGCTGAGGTACAACCCAGCCAAGTACTGCGAAACTTCGTCTCGGCCGTTGTCCCCGCTTAACGCTGAACATGGCGGCATCGCTCCCCTTGTTAACGTACTTACATGTGTATTTAATGGAGCGGACAGAATTGCAGAACTCAACGTTTATATGAGTATTGAATATTTTTAGGAGAAGGGGACAGTAGGGGACGACCCAACTGTTGTCAACACGTGCCCCCCCCCTTAACAACTTGCATCGTTCGCCCGCCCTTGAAAACGAAAGTCAGCACCTCAATACTGTCGGTAAATACTATGCTCAACGCCATTTGCGAAAAATATAGCCAAAAATCAGCTAGACTGGACTTGAATCGGATGTCCCAAAGTGATCGATTGTATCGATTTTTTCCAGTAATTTATATCGATATTGAAAATGAATGTCAGCACCTCATAACTGTTGATAAAAACAATGCTCAACGTAATTTTGGTGGAAATTCTTCGCAATTTGCGAAAAATATAGCCAAAATCAGCCTGACTGGATTTGAATTGGAAGTCAAAAGTGGGATGATGTTATCGATTTTTTCATATAATTGATACCGATATTGAAGAAAAAGGTCAGCAACTAATAACTCTTGATAAAACTAATGCTCAACAAGATTTCCATGTAAATTCCTTGCAGTTTGCGAAAAACAGAGCCAAAAATCAGCTACATTGGATTTGAAGCGGATGTCCCAAAGTGATCGATTTTATCGATTTTTTTTCCGATAGCTGATATCAATTTTTAAAAACAAAGAACAGAACCTCAAAACTATAAGTAAGGACATTGCTCAATGTGAGTTTGGTGGATATCACTTGTAATTTGGGAAAACTATCACGGAAAAATTGATGATTTTTTTCCGAATCAATATTCGACTCCCTATCGGTTTTATCAATTTTTTCCAAAATCGGAGGAACAATCGAAAAATCCGAAGACGTCAAGTAGGAATGCCCTAAATTTCCGATCTGTGTGTGAATTTTCACGCCAATCGGACGGACGGTTTGCTCAGAATGAGGTAACAAGTTGACAAACACACAGACACACTAACAGAATGCCATTCTCTTGTACGCTGATTTCACTACATCGGCGTACAAAGGAGAGGGGACGTTTTGATATTTAAATTAGTTTTTTGAAGCAAATCTCCGTTAATTCTCTAAAAAGAATTTCCTACATTGATGCACACAATCTTATTTTGTACATCCTGGGCACGTAATATTGTTACACGTTTCATCTTAAAACATTTTCATCTTTGCCCAATGCTTGATTGTATTTTGTCATTTTTCTCTTGCTTAAAACATTTCTTGTTTATGAATTTCAAAATATTTTTTGTTTGTTTCTCGTGTTGTCTCATTTAAATATTTGGTTGAGTCATAAACAATTTCCATTTTTCTTAACTTTATTCTTCAAAAAATGAAGAAACCTTTCATTCCATTATCTATTCAGTCAGTTATGTGCCATACGTGATACACTTAGGCGATCATGTATCTTTCGATACATGACTGACGAGGAAGTCGGTTGCCATTTCTTTCTTTAGACCAGTTGCCATCCAAGGCTACAGAACCTGGTCTGTCCTGCTATTTGCCCATAGGTGGATAAAAAGAGGATTCATACCTTTTCCAAGAGTATTAGCATGTAAGTACTGGATTTGACTGGAATTCCAACTCGTCTCTCTGATTCCTCAATCGGAGCCGCTACCTATTGCTCCACCGTGTCTCCTTATCTATTCACCATTATTTAAAAATGACTTGTTGCCACTTATCTTCGATACCTGTCGAATAAAATTCCCCAGAGTTTCATGTGAAAGATTTTCAGCGAACACTTGTTTTCTTTCGAGCAAATTTTATTCCATCAGAATATTTTGCACATAAAGAAAAAGGTAATAATTTGTTGGTTCAAGGTCAAGTGAATATGGCGGCTGAAGTGCAGACCGAGTTTCAGGAATTTTACTGTGTTATTTTTGCTTTCGTTTAAATATATGTTAATTCAACAAATAATGTGCATTATTGGTAAAATAAATTTTGCCTAATGTTTGATTGTATTTTCTTATTATTTTTCTCTTGCGTCATTTTCTTTTATATTAATCTAGTTTAAGACATTTCTTTTTTACGAATATTAAATCATTTAAGTTTGAATAAATGCAGTGGTTCACAACATTTTTTTTCTCTGGGACGTATTTTCGGAATGAAAACTTGCTCGCACCTCACCAAATTTTATGTGATAAAATAAAATAAAAAAAATTAAAAAAAAACAGTAAGAGGGTTAAAGGAAGATAACCGTGCATTCAAAATCAGAACATTATCATTGATAACTCTCTCCTCCAATTTATGGACCCTAGTTACTATATTCTTAATAGTTGATATAATGCAAAAAATATAACAATGATAAAATCGGTCAATAATTATTTATAACTATTTATACTGGGACTCATGCCTGCAATTACAAGCAATCCATAATAATGATTTTGTTTAAGACATATCGTTTTTAAGACTCTTATGTCCATTAAGTTTGAATAAATATCACCCCTTAGTGTCTTTTTTTGAAATAATTAATCTCTTTTAGATGAAAATCGTTAATACCTAAACATAATATTTATTAAGTACAGGTGTGCGACAGAAATACTCCCACATATACCTCTCACAAATACCGCCCACATAATGGTAAGACATTTGCGAGATGAAGGCACCATTGCTACTAATGTATTACTATTATGCGGGACGTATTCTGGGAGTTATATGTGGGAGGTATTTCTGCCGCAGCCTAATGTTTAATGAAATTGTTAACAGCCCAACATGGGAATCTCAAATTGAAGTATAAAAATTTAAATACTTAGGAAGTGTTTTAACACGGGACGAAGATTGTGACACCGAAATCCGAAGGCGAAATGGGATAACGAAAGATGCCTTCTAAAAGCTAAGCAAAGTATGAAGTAACAGGGAATTTTCATTAGAAATAAAGAAAAGAGTGATGGGCTGTTATGTAATATCAGTCCTCCTATATGCTAGTGGATGCTAGACAATCTGGACAAGATGAAGAAGTGACTTGAAGCAACAGAAACGTTGTTATACAGAAGGATGCTGAGAATACAATGCACCGAACATGTGAGCGTTAACGAAGTTTTAGAGAAAACTGAAACAAAAGGACACTCACACGTAGCATCAGAGAGAGACAGTTGAAATTTCTAGCGCACATAATGAGGAAAGAGGGCTTGGAAAATTTGAAACACGTAGGGCATATAAAAGCAAGAGAGACGGAGGAAAACAGTGAATAAGATACATAACAAGCTGGTGCAAATGGTTGGCAGAACAGAGATTAGGAGATGCAGAAAAAAGACAAACTTCATTAAAAGTTACAGAGGACAGGAAATCGTGGAGAGTCTTGATCGCCCACACCGTGAAGGGACACGGCATATACAAGAAGAAAATACGACCGAAAAAGAGTTGCGTTCAGATAAAGTCCTTTCTGTAAAATTGAGTTACCTTACTTAACCCTCAATCGTCTCTTGCTATCGTAATACTTCTTGTGTATTGGGGGGGAGGGGGTAGCAACCATAACCATGAATCTGTCTATCTATACAGCAGCCGTATATAACAGATTTAAAATTCTAAGGGAATTTATTGAAATGATGTTTCTAGTATTTTCAACCACGACCCGTGTGAAAGTAATTGAATGTCGATTGCTTCCAACAATGAAACGGTTATTCTCACCATTACAATATATATATATATATATATATATATATATATATATAGTTTATGCAAATTTAGGTAATCCGTATGGGTAGACCTGAGGAGGATGATATCCAGAGAGCTCAATGTAAAATTCAGAGCAGATATATTTGAATAAAAGACAGACGACGTTAAGATTCCATGTAATAAGCTATTTCACCATAACCCCTTTAACAGGGTTCTGGATCATCAGACTTTACTTCCAAAAGCTGAAATGAAAAAAAAAAAAATTTAACCCTGTTAAAGGGGTTATGGTGAATTAGCTTATTACATGGAATCTTAACGTGGCCTGTCTTTTATTCAAATATATATATATATATATATATATATATATATATATATATATATATATATATATATAAAGGTATCTTATATATATTATATACCTATTATATATATATATTTATTATATATATTATAATGTATATATATTACATATATATATCTATTATACATATTATATCATTTTTTCTGTTTTCTATGCATATTTAGTTATTATGCATCTGTGTACAGTTAATTATATGAAAAGTATGTTTATTCATTAGTTGGAGATACAATAAATTAAACATTTGTATGTGTACGAATATTTGTTTCCCCCAATGTATATATATATATTTTGTTTGTGTTTGTCTGACGATCGCTAAAGCGTGAAACCCAGGGTCACAAACTCACAT